TTCCCTCATCATTTACAGCACACAGATCTAACTGATAATTCTCTACCAGATGTTTGAGTATAGGAAGAGAGTCACTGTACTCACATGTAATGTGAAGAACTGTTGATCCATTAGAAGTCTTAGCTGCTACATTACACTGAGGAAGATTAATGAGATAAAGTACAACAGGAACATGGCCTCCTTCACATGCTTCATGAAGAACTGTACTACCAGTATCAGTCGTAGTGGCATTAACATCACAATGATACTTGTTGATCAGTTCCTGTAGACAATGTAGCTTACCTTCATAAGCAGCTGAATGAGCTAGTGTGTACTTGTTATTGTTAGTATGATTAGTAATATCCACACTATACTCCTGAATGTACCATTTCAGTATATGAGTATGACCAGTCTGTGCTGCTGCATGTAATGCTGCTATGCCACATTGATCAGTAGCTAAAGGCTCAAGGTTGTACTGTTGTATTAGTAATTGTACTAGATCAAGATTACCTGAGACACAGGCAAATGTGACAAATGTACTGTCACGTGTATTCTTAGCATTGACATCACATTTCATATCATTTATTAGAAATGTGACCAACTGAATATTACCACTCTCACAGGCTGAATGCAATGGCACAAAACCCTCATTGTCAGTAGAGTGTAGTAAACTAATGTATTGAAGATACTGACTGGTGATATGCTTGATAAAGTGAGTGTGACCTTTTAATGATGAAAAATGAATAACATTCCAACCTTTGTTATCTGTTAAACTCAGACTAGATTTGTAATCCTTCACATATAATTCTAGTAGTAAAATATCACCAGATTCAGCAGCATAATGAATTGGTAGCTTACCATTACTGTCAGCTTGATGAGGATCTAACTGATATGTAGTTATTAATTCTTTAACAAGAAATAATTTAAGAGAGACTGAGGCATAATGTAAAGCAGTGAGGCCATTCTTAGTAACTGCATTAGGAGTCAAACCTTGTTCAGTAATAAGATACTGAATTAACTCAAAGTTACCACTCCATGCAGCATGATGTACTAATGTACATCCTTCATTATCTGTTTTATTAATATCACAATGCTGTACCTCAATGAGATATTGAGTGATATCAATATGACCATTATGACAAGAATGATAAAGACATGTCATACCATACTTATCAGTAATACTAGGATCACATTTGTGATTAGTAATAAGATATTTAACAGAATTAATACTACCTGACCAGCAGGAGTAGACTAATGGCATCAGAACATAAGTATCAGTATCATTAGCATTGAGATTATACTGAGATATGATATGACTTAATACACTAGTAGAACCTGACCAGGCAGCATAATGTACTGGAGATTCACCATCATTAGTTAATGTACAATTGATATTATATTGTTTTAATGCTTTCACTAGTAATGTACTGCCACTAAATGATGCAAAATGTAGCAATGACGTGCCATCATTTGTAGTGGCATTGATGTCAAAGTTAGGGCAAGTGCTAGCTTTCTTGAGAAGTGAAGAAAACATTTTAACTCTTTCATTTCGTTTAATAAAATCAACATTTGTTTTTATTTTTGTATTATTAACAATCTCAATAACTGATGCATCACTTTGTGCCATAAGCTTACTATACACAATACCAGCTAGAATTTGTATACCTGCTTTACATGCATAATGTAAACATGACCTACCAGTATTATCAGTAACTAATAATGCTTCATTACCTTGAATACTAACAATATACTCAACAACTGATGATGAAGCAAACCATGAAGCAATATGAAGTGGAGTCCTACCATATCGATCCTTTACATCAATGGATAATTGATAATGATTTAAAAGATACTTTAAAAGTTCAAGGCTTTTATTATTCATAGAACGACAAGTATAATGCAGTATACCTCGTCCTAAATTAGTAACTGAATCTGGTGAGAAGAGGTTTAATGATTCAAGCTTGTGGACTAATGCTAGCTCTCCACTTTGACAAGCTAATAATGATAAAGAGGCACTCATACAATTAATCTGAGAAGTATTACAATTTTTCTCAATAAGGAATTCCACTAGATCAGAATGGCCCCCCATTGCTGAGTACAGTAATGCAGTGTTATTGCTATTGTCTGGTTCATCAGGAGGAACGTCACACGTGTCTACTAGATATTGTACTATAGATAAGTGGCCTTTATAAGATGCCATATGTATA